ACCCATGGACTATGAAGAGTTTGTACGAGGTTGTCATCTTGGAGTATTTCCGTCATACTATGAACCCTGGGGTTATACTCCAGGTACGTGACATGATTGACTGTGGAATGTTTTGGATTTTTGTTAGTATATTGCTCTATATGCATGTATATAATATTCAAAGGTGATATGTAATTTCTACTAAGGTTTTGACTTTTCGGTCTGTTTTAAAAATGATTTTGGTTGGATCTGTCTCAGGGGTCGATTTTATGCTTTGTAGATTCTGACCTGAGAATAAGGGGAAAGATTACATAGGTATTCCATATGAAGAGGGAGGACTTTTCTAATATCTGCATTCTTATTCAAGAGTTTGAATATAGAATTTTAAATTCTACAAAAATAGGATACTATAATCTTTACAATAGGAGTGACATGAGGACACTACACCTTTTATGGTAAGGTCTGATTCTATCGTTCTATGTTTCAACAAGAATAATTTCCAGCAGTTGTAAAAACATTAAAATTTCATGGGAGAAATGGACAAAGGATTGTTAGTTCTGGAAACATAACATAGAAAATGTATTTATCTAACTCCTCTGGCTATCTTCCTTGCAGTTCTAAAAATGGACATTGGCATCAGTTTCGCTTTCGCAAAGGTGGTGTCTTCTTACTTTAGAAATGTCCACATAAATATCTTAAATTGTTTGTAGTAGAGTATCTATCTTTTGGGACACATAAAACACACATTTTGCTGATGAACCTGACACTTTGTTATCGATCCTGTTCCTGTTATTTCTAGTAAGCAATGCAATTTACTATTTGAAGTGTCATGGATAGAGGAGCACAGAACCAAATGCATGAGTGACTAGGGCAATGTGGGAAATCATTGCCAGGAAAAGAGAATGTGATAGAACCACCTGCCAACTTTCCTCCCAAATGTCATTTTATAGGGTAAAGTTAAACTTAATCACCCAAAATGATAGGGGACATATGTCTAATGTTTTAAGGTGAAGAGTAAAGAAGATGTTATAAAAGATAAGTATTAATAGACAAAGAAAGGAGTTCATTGTATACTTCTCAGTGAATGAGACACCCTGTGTTTTACATTAACCAAAGGGAGTTGGTCCTGTTCACCTAACCTACTGTTACAGATATAATGAGACTTCTGGTGGTATAAATTGGGAATTAACATATTAGATTTTTTTAGAATAATCTTTTTATATGATGCTTTGTCTAACTCACTCCAGAAAGTATTCATTAAAGTCTGTTCTGTGTTTTGAGAAAGCTTAATGAATATAAGTACTTATTTTATTAAATTCATCGAATGAATATATACTAAGCCTACATGGGCACCTGCAATTTTACTAAATAGTGTATTAACAGATATTTAATAAAAAAATGAGGATCTGTGAATTTTCATGGAGTTTTAGGCAATATTTTATACACATATGTGTATGAAAATGTTTTTAGAGAGAATTTCTAGAATTTTCATCAGACTCTCAAAAGGGTCGATAACCCCTGTCCCAC